TGCTGCCCAGACCTTCACTACAGATTAAATTGCTAGTTCTTATTCCATTCTTCCTAGTTTTAAATCTGTGGGGTCACATTTTTGCACAATATTCAAACACAGCATTTAATGAAAACACGTCACAAACATTCGGTTCAATTCCTAACGTAGCACAAATTTATATGATACCGGAAAAGAGACGTGAAACCGCGTACAATAAAATCATGTAAATGTGTAGTGTTACTTGTCTATTGAAAATCACACAATAAGATGGATTTCAAATTTTATGAAAAGGTAACATGTTAACGGTAAATTATGTTGCAGTAAAAATTAAATAGTAAGCATATGAGAAACCAAAATGAGATACATTGATCTAATATGCATTATAAAGATTTAGGTGCAATTCCTAAATTACAACGCGTGTATGATAACCAGATATGGTTGTGAAACCGCATATAACGACACGATGTGAATGTGTAGTATTACTTGTCTAAAACCCACATTTTCAAGATCAAAACATGTTGGCTCTTAAAATGTGATGAAGGCATGCACATTTTCAAGATCAAAACATGTTGGCTCTTAAAATGTGATGAAGGCATGCTTCTTTATATTAAATCACAAGAACACACACACACACACACAAAAAGAGAGAGAAACTGACCGGAACGATATACCCAAAATTGATCAGACCAAGTAATATTTCAATACTAATCAGGACATACTAAACAAAATGAGGCGGCTTCTAGGCCGCAGTAGGCATGAGAAAAGACAAACAGCAGCATCATCAAACCAATAACAAATGAACACACCAGCAATTTATCTTCAAACCAATAATTTTATGGCTAGCCAACAAGAATTGGAGGACAAGTTTTAAGCAGCCAATAGAGTCCTTGCGCAGCCTTCTTTAAGGAGAAGAAAAGCTGGCATCTTGGAATTCTTCATTAGAAAGGAATGGTCAAAGTTTTTGACAAATAAGAAAAGCTTATCATTGGCTAACCTAAGTGGCTAGCTTTGTGAAATTTCTGGAAATCTTAGGAAGAAGACGTGCTGATTTTCAACAGAACAAGGCTATGTAAAGCTTACATTTCAAACTGTGGCCAAGAAGCGTTTGCATACTCCAAATACTGAACAAAAATAAATAAAGGTCTGCCCCACTATTCATCTCATCGTGCTAGATCAATTGAAAGAGCTAGAGCAACTATACTGAACAGAACAATGTACAACAAATTTGTTGTTTTGTAATTAAATTATTAGCAAACTATTGTCAAGAAATCATTTGTTGCTTTCTGGAGTATCAACTCCTCTCTTTCCAAACAGAAAAAGGCTATGGCTCATCTATTGGGAAGTCAACCCATTATATTGATACATTAAAGAGAGAGCAAATGGGCACAAAGGCCGAATAACTTTGTTGCAGAAACAGCAGCACGAGAGAATAAGGATGGCCATAATTTTCTTTTACAGCCAGCCTTAACTTGCATCATGAGCTCTCCATGCGCTGAAGTTTATATTATTCTTGTCCTCTAATGGTTCTGTTAAGGGAAGAAATCTCACATCGGTTAAATATCGAAATATTGACCAACTTAAATAAATCTTGGCCCACTTCTCTTAAAAAGGTTGACTTTATTAAAATAAACCCCAAATATTAACATGGTATCAGAGCTTAGTAAACTCGAACGAGCTATTCGATCCGATTAAGTCTAAAAAATGAGCATACGGATTTCAAGATTGGTCTGCTCAAAAAGAGCCACCATCTTGCAAGGGCAATTTAAGGAAATAAATTTCACATCGGTTAAATACCGAAATATTGACCAATTTAAATAGATCTTGTACCACTCCTCTTAATAAGGTTGACCTTATTAAGATGGACCCCAAATCTTAACAGGTTCCTCATCTTTCAATTTGAATGTCCGGTCCAATTCCAAGAATAAATCCGACGGAGTTGTTTTGTAGAATGCCAGTACGACTTGCTTCACCCTTCGTCTCATTTGTAGGAACGATTTATATTGTCAGAGGATGAATTGCAGAAAATAAAAAGTGAACTCTGCATCAGTAACTATAATCCAGAGGGAAAATGTGTTGAAACGTGAAAATAAATTGGGCTGTGAAGTTGCATGAAAATCAAGGTAACCGATTATGTGGATCAAAAAATCAGCTGTGTATCATCATTATTCTTAAATCATCAAACAAATGTGACTTATAAAATTAATGATTTGTGATCGATAAATAAATTGTTGACTTACAAATCTTTTGATATAGGATCGATGGATAAATTTTGACCTAATAACATTTTTGATTTGTAATCGTGAAATAATTTGTAACCTATAAAATTTTTGATTTGTAACCAATTTATTCGATAATTTGTGATCAAATTGTAAAGAATTGTGACCTTAATATATTTAATTAATAAAATATATATTTAGCTAATTATTTTATAAAAATTTAAATAATATCTGATTTTTGAAATTTTAAACCTTATTTCTTAGTTTTGAAATGGATCAAAATCTTTCAGATAAGAAAATTTTCCGCAAGTTTAACCGCATGGTTTCCGAATTCAAAAACTAAACCCATGCACACGCTTGGTTAAAAAATAATCATTAGGATGGATGGTTTCAAATTTTTTTTTTTTTTTTTTTTTTTTTTGGTTTTTTTTTTTGTGGTATTGTTTCATGAAAAGTTCTCAACTTTTCACGAATTTTTGAAACTTGTCTGTGACGTGCAAATGAAAATCTATAAATAAGTAATAGAATTCGATTTCTACCACAAGAAAACATTATTTGAGTTATTCCAATTCATAAAATTCCAAATTCTAATTCCTTAAAGTTTTTCATCAAGTTTTCTTTCGAAGAATCACTTGTGCTTTAATTTTCGTTTTGAAAGGCTTGTCATATCCTCTAAACTACTTGTCGAAAATTCAAAAAGCAATACGAGATGAGGCAAATATCGTTTTTAGGAAAGCGTGTCATATACATGTTTTGGGCCTCATTATTCTCTAACAAGGAGCACTAAAATGAATCCAAGCACAACTTTTTGCACGTATGATCCAAAAACATAGCACTATCCACAATATAATTATAGTAAAAGCTCGAATAATGAATGTTCAATAAATTAATAATCTCGCTTAAATAATAAAATTCATCGATCTCAACTTGGGCCAGTGTACTAAATTAATAATTCCACTAAATGCATAAGATAATAATTATTTTTGAAATCCTTTAAGACCTAATGGATATATAAAATAATAACTGTTTAAATTCATAAAAGTTTATGCTAATACAAATTGACAAATTTTTAATTTGATATTATTTTTTTTATTTCGCATCTTTTGAAAATATACATCTAAAGTCTTTTGCTTTTCTTTGCATTTACATTAATGTTCTCTTTAATGTATGTATGTATGTGCCTTTTTTGTGCTTACAAATTAAATTTTGAATTTTACCCCATTCAATATATATATCAATAAATTGATATATAATACAGGTTATAAAAATATAAAATACTCTATAAATTAATAAATTATTCATTTATCAATAAATTAATAACTCTTTTAAAATAATAATTTTTCTAGGTCCTGACATTATTATTTTATAGAAGTTTCACTGTATATATCACATAGTTAACCCTTATAATTACATTGTCACAGTAATCAAAAATTATATTTTAAAATTATTCTCATGTATGAAAATCATATAACTTTATTGTCTACATTTAACAAGACGCACCGTTTTTTCATGTACGAATATTATAATTAATCTTATTGATAAGACTCAATTTAGTAAATATTCAAACAATATTTAGATATAAAATCAGAAAATAACTTATTTTACAACAAACCTAAAAGTTAAAAATAAAATTACTATCAATGCAAATTTGTATAAAATTAAGTTATAATATTAGCAAAATATATTAATCAATAATCATTTATTCAGTGACTCTAACTGCTTTAGTGTGTGTATTTGGACTATTAAGCATTTTTCGGGAGTTGTCATAATATCTAGGCTCGACTATTCCTAGCATCTCAACATCTCGATTTAAGTTAATAATTGACTCATCCCAATTTTCTTTTAATTTGAGAAAGATTTTTTTGTCAATTTTAACTTGAGATAGAGATGCTACAAAATTTTACCTCGTTCTTGTAAGAGAATGCTTAGCTATAATATTGTTGGGATATAAGAAGTGGCGGATTCAGAATTTTGAATAAGCACGGGCGATCGTTGCCGACCATCAGTCCAATAAAATATTACGAGCTCGTTTGATATATATATATATATTCTGTAAAAAATGCATTTTGGAATAATAATTTGATGAAAAATATATGGTTAAAAATAAGGATAAATTTTGAATTTGCGTGTAATATCATTTTATTAAAAAATATATGGTTGAAAATGAAAGAGAGAAAAATATATTCTGAAATAAATGAGAATCAAATAAGACCTAAAATTTAAATATAACAATTATTTTGTTGAAATTGAACATATATAATTTTGTTACAAGAATATAGTATACTCATCAAATGACATTGTTGTCAAGTTTTATATAATTCAAAGGAAGAGCACAAATAAATTATATAAATTTGTTAACTCTATTGTCACAGTTCATAGAAAGACATGATGGTCAAACCTTTAACTATTCTAGCAAGAGCTCCAAGTTCGAATCCTCATTCCATCAATTTTTGGTAAAATTGGTTTATAGAGGATTCGAACTTGGGACATGCAAAAAGTAAAAACCAGTACCGCAAATTCTAACAATTCAGATAGTTCCCAGTATTGCACTGGCTAGCCGGCTACTCAAAAAAGAAGAATATGGACAGAATTGAGAATATAATTACCCATCATTTAAAGTTGTTACGCGTATCTTCTTTTCTTTGGCGTATTACAAAAATAAAAGTAGAAAAGTCATAATTATATTGAAGCTATTAGGATTCATAAGCAAATCTATTAAAAGATTGTACACGTAATATGTTTTCAATTATATAAGAACAATAATTGATGTTAGCCCATTGCTTCAATTTCTAAGTGCTTTCCAACCGCCTACCCTGTTGGAATTATTTCATTGGTTAATGTTTCCGAGCTCCTTCCGCGAAGTTTCTTCTTCATAGCCCATTGCTTCAATTTCTAAGTGCTTTCCAACATCCTACCCTGTTGGAATTATTTCATTGGTTAATGTTTCCGAGCTCCTTCCGCGAAGTTTCTTCTTCATTTCCATGTCCTTCCGCGAAGTTTCTTCTTCATTTTCCATGTCGCCAATGTTGACTTTACAGTGAAGTAGTATTAATAAAAAAAGAACATAAGCCTGTGTGCTTCACACCTGTGCTTTGCCTTATTGAGAGTTTAAGCAGAAAGAGTTTAAGATTGCAGGATTTTCTCGTGTCCGCCATTTGTTTTGAGCTTTCCAGAATTCGATTGAAGGTAAGTATATGTATTTAGTTTAATTTGATTTTGTTATCATATGGTTCTTTTTTTTATTTTATCCAGTTCAATCATAAAACGATGAATGATTTTGATTCTTACTTTTATAATTTGGAATCTGGATCCATCTTGCATATGCACACTTGTTTCGTCAAGAAAGGTCTTTTGCATTTCTGAATCAATTCAGGTGAACGCGTACAATTAGCTATTTTTAATTAGTTGCATATTTTTACGTCAAGAATATTGCTTCATTCTTCCCCCTTTTTTTAAAATTTTTTTGTAAGTCATTGTTTTTCGCTAATATTAATGACAAATACGGATGATATTACAAACTTTTTCAATTAAAATCGTTGCCCCTCAAATTAGAGCCTATTTGAGCCGATTTTTCACCCAAAAAATTGATTTTTGACCGTTATTTCACTATTTCAGCCGTCGTATTTGACTTTTTCTCCCACAAGTGGACACCACTTTTCTCCTAATAATCAAAAAATCAATTCTCAAAATCACTCTCAAATAGGCTAAACCCAACATAACATAGGCGTGTAGAGAAAGCTTAAGAATAGCTGCCTATATCTCACAATCCTATTGGCCACCCTTTTCTCTTTTTATGCGTTTATCTAGAGTAATAAGTATAGTTGCACCATATTGCACAACATTTTAGTTGTACTTAAAATTCTCAATATTTACTCATTGTAATAGTTTGGTCTCTTACTTTTTTCATCGAATTCTTATCTTCAATATTTCATTAATTAACACGTCTTGTCTTTGATCCTAACTTCTTTTAAAAGTTTCTCTAATTGAGTGTTTTGAATCTATGGAGAAATACTAATGTGCTAATTAATAAAAAAGTTGAAGATAAAAATAGTTAAAAAAAGGTTAGGGATATAAAGGCTATAAGGAGGAAACTAATGTGCTAATTAATAAAATGTTGAAGATAAGAATAGTTGAAAAAAGTTAGGGATATAAATGCTATAATGAGCAAAGATTGAGGATCTTGAGTGCAATTAACATGTGGTTTGATTGATAAAAGTCATGATGTGAATATAATTATTCATTTATTAATTTATATTTTCCTTATTTCCATTTTAACCCTCTATTTTTCTTGCTACCACTCTTGACCTTATTTAAAGGAAAAACAAGTCCCCCACCGCCATTTTCTTTGTCATGGTCAAGTAAATTATAAAAGGAAAAATAATTGCTTTTACACAGAATTTTTTGTCAGAAGTCAAGTGTCAACTCTGCATTAATCTGTTTTAATTTATTTTTTCCATCATCCAATCCAAGGAAGCCACCTCTCTTCCTGTCAAATTTTCGTGTGAAACATCCCGGCTTTTTTCTTAGTCTATTGATTCAACAATTGCTTTTCTAAGTGCTTTCCCACCACCTTTACCAAGTCTATTGTCAATTTGATCGTGGAAAATTGAGAAAATCAGGCAAGATTGAAAGTTTTTACTGGCACCATTGAATTATGAATAAGCACAGAGCGAACTCTATTGTGATATGGTATTTACATTTTAAAATATATACACACTTCCAATAAACATTCTTTGTTGCATTACAAGAATAAAGTCAAGAAGAATCTATTCATATTGAAGCATGACATGTAAGAAAGCCATTCGGAGACGCATAAGCAAATTTATTAAAAATTGGACTCTCATTAAATTTTCGATTATAAAAGAACAATAATTGATGTTAGGTCCATTGTTTCAATTTCAAAGTGCTTTTCGACCTCCTCCTACCTTGACCAAGTCTGTTGTCTATAAAATAGCTTATATTCAAATATTTTTGAATAAATTAATCTTTTAAATTTATTTATTTTTTATTGACTTTGTACAAAAATGCAGGAGACGCCATTTTGTTTTCTTTCGGCCAAGTTAGTACCCCACGGTGTAATATTTCCCAACGTAGTGTTGGGAATCTACTTAAACATGCATAGCGAAATTTAAAATAATTTTCGATTCCCACCAAGAATCGCCTTTGTGTTTAGATAGAAATTGTGACAAGATTGTACCTTTTCCAGATTTGCAATCTTTTTGCTTTTCTTTTCGTTCCATCAACCTTGATTCGCCACCACAGCTGTCCAATTGTGCAGCCGCCAACGGTGATCCGCACAGAGAATAAGATTGCAGCCTCTAGGGTTTTCTCTTGTGCCAGCAAGAATAATGAAAACCATAATGGACCTCAAACCCTAGTTATGTATTTATATAAACCCAAACAGGCTCGGTCCGGTCCGGTCCAATAATTAATTAATTCAATTAATTAAACCCGGTCCGTGAATTAATTAATCCAATTAATTAATTCGAAAATATAAATAACAAATCCAATTAATTAATTTATCCAACGATTGTTAA